ACTGGACACTTCAGTCAACGTCCAGTTTTTGAATGTGACCATATTTTACTTCAAGGAGTCACAGAAACTGAAGTGCTGATCGTACACAACCACTGGCTCTGGAAGGCCAGGTAAATGAACAAGTAAATGAGGTAAGGAGACGAGGATCGGGAGGGAAGGACAGTAAGCAGCAAGGAGAGCCTTTTATTTATTTATTTTAAGGAGAGTCAGTTTAACAAAGGAAAAAGGAGTGAAGCTTCCCGACCGAAAAACGGGATCGGGAGCTTTGGAGGTAAGCAGAGGTGAGGTGTGGGGAGAGGGGCACAGTTTATTGCTGAAGGCCTGGTGGGAGACAGCAGACAAGGCAGCCCTAGGCAGCCCCACTCAGGAGCACCGAGGGGGAGAAGGAACAACTAACCCAGCCCTGGACTCTTGGGTCCAGACCACCAGTTCAGCACCTCACTGAAGAAAACACTTCTACTAAAAGCAACGATAAATAACAAATACTCCGGTTACATCTAAGTTAACAACAGAAAGAAATTCTGTGTATCTTCATTGTAATTTAACTAGCACAAACAAATGACAAGGTCTTCCTGTTTGGAAACTCTATTTTCTTATGCTTTATAGATTCAAACAAGCACGTGTGTGAGTCACAGTGGCCGTTGATAGGCAGTTGATCTAACAGAAGTGAGCCAGGCAGATGAACTTTCCGGACATGCATGGCAAGACACAGCTGTATCAGTTCAAAGCTGGAAGTGAGAAACCAAGATGTATCTCTAATATTAAACATGTTAAAAAAAAATTCACCGGGACGGCGGGGGGGACTGGTCCGAGTGAAGCTGCAAAGCTGCTACCCACAGCACTGGCATCGTGCTCATTTTGGCAGCACATATACTAAAACTGTAATGACAGAGATCAGCACAGCCCCTGTGCAAGGATGACACACACTAGTATCCCACGTCGGAGCACCAGCTCAAGCCCAGCTCTTGCCTGGTGACACAGCTCCCTGCTAATGTCCCTGGGAAAGCAGAAGATGGCCCAAGTCCTTGGGACTCTGCCACCCATGTGGGAGATCTAAACAAAATTCTGGGTTCCTGGCTTCAGCCTGGCCCAGCCCAGGTCATCACAGTCATCTGGGTAGTAAGCCAGTGTATGGAAGATCTATTTCTCTCTCTGCCTCTCCCTTTGTTACTCTGCCTTTCAAATAAATCTTAAAAAAAAAAAAAAAAAAAAGATAGGGATAGGTGTTACCATGCAGTGGGTTAAACAGCAGCCTGTGATTTTCAAATTCCAGCTACTTCCATCCTACCTCCCACAGCTGGAGTTCCTAAATGCAATTCCTGGCTTTTTTCAGGGACACACCTGGCTGCTGCATCCTTTGAGGGATAAACCAATCCCTCTCTCTCCCCTTTCCTTCCTCCCGCCACCCCCCAACTCTGTTGTTTGGTCTTTTAAATACGTTTTTCCTTTTCTTTTTTTTTTTTTAAGATTTAGTTTATTTTTATTGTCGACAGATATACAGAGAGGAGGAGAGACAGAGAGGAAGATCTTCTATCTGATGATTCACTCTCCAAGTGACCGCAAAGGCTGAAGCTATACAGATTCAAAGCCAGGAGCCAGGAGCTCTTCCAGGTCTCCCATGGGGTGCAGGATCCCAAGGCTTTGGGTCATCCTCGACTGCTTTCCCAGGCCACAAGCAGGGAGCTGAAGCAGAGCTGCTGGAATTAGAACTGGTGCCCATATGGGATCCTGGCACACTCAAGGCAAGGACTTAAGCTGCCAGGCCACCACACCAGGACCCCTTAAATGCTAGGCCACCATGCCAGGACTACTTTTTTTTTAATAGTGTTTTTAGTACATCTATGGATGGGGATGCAATTTAATACAGAATGAATAGCACAGTTCTTCTCAATTCAGAATCAGCTGGAAGTCACTGTTGAAATCAGGCACACTGAGGGGTTGAAATATGTTCTACGCTAAAATGTTCTCTAGAATGTTTCCCCTTTCTGATTTGAACAAGCCAAAAACACACCTAAAAGGACTAAATGGAGGCAAATTCAAGGTAGTTATATAGTAACTTCCATTCCAAAGGTTAAAACTCAAATCTGACTGTCGAAACCTCGTGCTGGTGACCAGAGACCAGGGCCTGGGCAGCGAGGGGAGTGTGTGGACGAGGCTGGCGGTGAGAGGATGTGGCGCTGTTAGGCAAAGCTGTTAGGGGTGTGTTACAAAAACTCTCCCTTCTCTGCAGACGCTGTTACCACGTAAGAGCAATGGGCTGATGCCAGCAGCCACCCAAACAGAACCAGGCATGAAACCCATCCTGTCCCTAGCAGTAGAAGCTCCACAGACGTGGTGAGAAAACGACTTTGGCCACTGGGATCAGTGGCAAGAGGCCATTACACATCTTCTTAACACCTCTGCACAGTTCACAACCTTTTCCATCCTTCCACTTGCTGACAGAGCCTGCAGCCCACCCTAGCCAACCCTTCACCAGTATTCCTTGGTTACTGCAAACAACCCTCAAGAGACACTTCATGAAGCAGATGAGCACTTCAGAAAACTTGGCACACTCCCTATTTTGTTTTGTCAAGACCTACACTTGACCAGTCTTGAGGGTTTAACCTTCAGATAAAATGCATCTCTCCTGCCAGTATATTGGGGGGAAAAAAAATTTACTTGCTTATTTGAAAGTCAGGTTTATGGAGACATTCCATCTGCTGGTTCAGACACAAACAGCACCTAGCCCCAGGCAGCAGCCTTCACCACTACACCACAACACCTTCCCCAGCTCCTCCCCCACCGTGCCTTCTTAACTGGAAAAAGTAAAACCTCCAACAAGGCTAAACCGAAGGATGGCAGTCATAGAAAAGGGAATTTTCTAGGCAAGAAAATGAGCTCCATCCCTTTCATATGGTATTTATAACACACACAAGTACAATCTGAGGGGAAAAACTTGAGACTTTCAAGAGAGAGAGCTAGATCAACAAGATGCAGTACATACAGACAATACAATGTTACTCAATCATAAAAATGAAAACAGTACTGGTAGGTGTTACAGTGCAGAGGACCCTTACAAACATCATGCCGGGCCTGACACGCTGGCCTAGTGGCTAAAGTCCTCACCTTGAACGCGCCAGGATCCCATACGGATGCCGGTTCTAACTCCGGCAACCCTGCTTCCCATCCAGCTTCCTGCTTGTGGTCTGGGAAAGAGGTCCAGGGCAGCCCAAAGCCTTGGGACCCTGCGTCTATGTGGGAAACCTGGAAGAGGCTACAGTCTCCTGGCTTCGGATTGACGCAGCCCCGGCATTATGGCCATTTGGGGAGTGAATCATTGGACAGAAGATCTTCCTCTCCTTCTCTCCTCTTCTCTCTATACAGATATATATATGTATCTGACTTTACACTTAAATTCAATAAATCTTAGGCCCAGTGCGGTGGCCTAACAGCTAAAAGTCCTCGCCTTATGTGCACCGGGATCCCATATGGGTACCGGTTCATTTCCTGGTAGCCCCGCTTCCCATCAAGCTCCCTGATTATGGCCTGGGAAAGCAGTCAAAGACAGCCCAAAGTCTTGGGACCCTGCACTCATGTGGGAGACCCAGAAGAGGCTCCTGGCTCCTGGCTTCGGACCCGCTCATCTCCAACCACTGCAGCCATGTGGGGAGTGAAACATTGGATGGAAGATCTTTCTCTACGTCTCTCCTCCTTTTTGTATATCAGCCTTTCCGATAAGATCTAAATTTTTTTTAATTTAAATAAATCTTCAACAATCAAAAAAAAAAAGCATTATGCCAAGTTCAAGAAGACAGACACAAAAGACTACACACGAGCATCATAAGATTCCATTTGTGTGAAATATCCATAGTAAGTACATTCATATAAACAGAAGACAGACTGGTGGCTGCCAGGCCTAGGAACGGGGGAGACAAGGTGACCAGTATCTAATAGGGATGGAGTGTTCTTTCAGGGAGATGAGAGTGGTTTGGTACTACATAGGGGTGATGGCTGTACTGCTCAATTGTTCACTTTAAAATGGCTGATTCTAACAAATTTCAACTCATTAGAAATTTGTTTTATACAGAGGATACTGAGGATATTGATGTGCAAAACCACTTGTATAAATGAAAAAGCGGCATTCAACCCCTGGGGACAAGGGTATTGTGTCCTGTTTCTGCTCTTGAACACCCACTAAGTTGTGCTGACCCTGCCACTGTGCTGTGTATGTGCAGACTGGAAAGGGACAAGAAAATGAAGAAAACAGAAGAGTCACGCTTTGCCAGTACCAGGGAAAGAGGGGTGGGTCCCCCTACTGTACCCCACCCAACTTGGCACCAGGAGGTAACACTCCCATGAGGGTTTCGAAATGCCAGCCCAAACTGTGCCTGGACACAGAACAAGTTACTAAACCAGAAAAGCTGGGGTACTCCATTTGCTGCCAGCACCAGCATCAGAACTCCCTCTGCTCAAAAGGACTGAGCAGGTTCAGATCAGCATCCTTGCCTTGTCTTCCCAGGGGTGCCAGGCTAACAGCATGAGCCCTCCTCCTGGGGGCTCCCACCTGCCTCCAACAACCTGCCACCAAAGGTGCCTGGACTCACACAGGGCAAATGGGATCAAGCCGAAACACACGTGGTCCTCTGTCGAGCCTCCCAGGCCCTCCGCCACCTACCCCCCAGCAGCTTGCTAGCCCACGGCCCGGCCACCTCGGCCACTTGCTCCACCGTGCGGGGGACACCAGGGAGCCCGAGAGACGCCAGTTCCACACCACCACCCGCTCACCAGGGGCCCTCATCTAACTGCCACATCTCAAAGGCTCCTCGCTCGCTTTGGCAACGTGTCTCTGGTCCCTTAGTAACACCAGATGCCTGACAGGTATCGCTCTGCTAGACGCCGACGCCCCCTCAGAGCCCGGCCCTCGTGGGACCCCCCTCTATTAACACTCCTTCAGACCTCTCCAGCCAGGCCTCGACGATTCCCAGGCCCCCAGGTGGACCCGGACGCCCCCTCCCCCTTACCTGCGGGGGTTCAGCCCTGGCTGACAGGGGGCTGGGCAGCGCCTGGAGGAGCAGGAGCGCCATTCCACCCACGAGCCGCCTCCTCTCCATCCCCCTCCTGCTCCTGCTCCTCCGCCACGGCGCCGCCACCGCCTCCCTCCTCCTTCTCCCCTCTCCTTCTCTTTCCTCTTCTTCCTTCTTCCCTTCTTTTCCTGTTTCACTCTCCCCTCCCGCTTCCGGCTCCATTCCATCCCGCCCCCACGCCAAGCACCCGCCCAACCACGAGGAAAGGGTTTCCAGCTGCAGCGCTTCATTGGCCCGTACTCCTCGCCCATTGAGCAGAACAGCTGTCGATCAAACGGAAGCCCCGCCCTCCCACGGGGAAGACCCGAAACAACCAACCAATGAAAAGTGGGAGGAACCAGGGCCATCTTGCGTGCTGCGAGGTAGTGTAAAATTCGTCCCACCTCACACAGTCTGGTGGAATTGGCTTCGGTAGGTGATGGGGCCACCTAGGAAGGGTGTTGTGAAGTGTGTGTTGGAATGCACCCATGTTGAGTGTGGCGGAAATAGTAGGTTTCCCCGGTTAAACACAAAAACAGGTATGCTCAATTTAAAGGTTAGTCATGTTTAGAAAGGAGACGGACGCTCCTAAAGAGAAAAACGAATTGCAGTCTAGGTCTCTTTCGATGTCTTGTTTTGAAGCACAGCCACTCTTCCCTTGTCAAAAACTGTCCAAGCACCTGCTAAGGTTCACTTGGATTCCTTATAATACCTGCACGTGTGTGGAGGGTCTTGTCGCCTCTAGTTTCAGCAACACAATTCTATTCACTGTCCCCTAAGTTCTGAAGTCCACCCTCCCGTCCCGCTTTCATTCCACACGTATATCTTCGCACTGAACGCAAATGGCTTCCGGGTCGCTCTGTGGTGAGACCTGCTCTTCTCTCTCAAATCCGTCCCATATGCCAAAACAGGCCCAAGGAAAACAAGCATTAAACACATCAACTGCCTGCAGACTGTATCACCCAAACGTCTCAGTAACCTCAATGGTTCTGCAATCTGGCCCCCACCTGCTTGTATCCTCCCATATTTTCTCACACTTTCCTCTCACAGTGAACAAACAAGATGCCCCAAAGGTTTACATACACCCCACACACAATTAGTTTCCCCTCTTCAGACTCCTAGTTCCAACCCCTGTTTCTTCCGGAGTCTCACAACACTCACCACATGGTGTATCTAATCAGTAATGTCTGTCCACCTGATTGCAGGCTTTCTTAGGCACTGTGTGCTTTACTCTTTTTTTTTAGAATTTAAAAACTCAGGACCAGCGCAATGGCTCAATTGGATAATCCTCCCCCTTGGAGCATCCGGATTTCCACATGGGTGCCAGTTTGTGTCCCAGCTTCTCCACTTCCCATCTAGCTCCCTGCTTGTGGCCTAGAAAAGCAGTGGAAGACGGCCCAAAGCTTTGGGACCTGCACCCGCGTGGGAGACAGGAGGAGGCTGGCTTTGGATCAGCTCAGCTCCGGCCATGGCGGCCACTTGGGGAGTGAACAAGCAGATCCTTCTGAATCTCCTCCTGTCAATCTGCCTTTCCAATAAAAATAACCTTCAAGTGATCTTAGCCAAAAGGCTGAGAAGTGATCCAATTAAAAATCTTAAAATAATAATAATAATTTAAATCCATAACATCCTACACAGAAAACTTAGCCAATATTGGAAAAATGAAGGTCCATGGCAGAGAACCCAGCTGTCTCTAGCAATCAAATCCTCCCAAACACTGGATAAAAAGATTTACAGTCTGACCAACTATAGCCCATAATTGAGGCCAGAGGGAGCTGTCCTTGACTTACATGTGGGTAAGAAAATAAATAAAAGGAACCCATTATGTCCCAGTCTGACAATGACCATGGCTTTGCCTCTAGAGCCTACATTCCCAAGCAATGCAAAAAGGTGGTAAGTATTTTTGTCAGTCTCTAGTTTCTTGAAAATTCATTTGTCCCACAAGTCACATTCCCTTGGTGTAGAAATAAAAGATTAAGGGAGCAGTGTTGTGACATCACACATTATACCACTGCCTGTGATGCTGGCATCCCAAATGTGCCCTGAATCCCAGCTGCTCCACTTCTGATCCAGCTCCCTGCTAATGGCATGGAAAAGCAGCAGAAGATGACTCAGGTTTTTGGCACTCTGCACCCACATGAGACCTAGAAGAAGTTCCTGATTCCTGGCTTTGGTCTGACTCAGCACCGGCCATTGTGGTCATTTGGGGAGTGAACCAAATGAACGGAAAAATCACTGTCTCTCCTTCTCTCTGTAAATCTGCCTTTCAAATAAATAAATCCTTAAAAAAAGATGATATTTTGAATTTATTTATTTGAAACGCAGTTACAGAGAAAGAAAGACAGAATGTTAGGTTTTAAAATGCACTTTAAGTTCTTATTGTTGACATTGTTTCGCACAGCTAATTCCCGCAGCCAAGTCCTCTTTTCACGATTCGTTTACCACAAGCCAAAATCCCAGACACGATGCGGTATTAGGAGGTCCTTTACTCCAACGCGGTCGGAACAGGAGCAGGGGTGCAGGGGAGGGAACAGGAAGGGACAAGTCTCCTGCCATGGTGGCAGGATGGGGGCTGCCTGGGCAAGGGAAAGGGGCAGGATGGAGGGGACAGGGGGAGAAAGGAAAAAGAAGGGAGGGGCTGTGTGGGCTGTGTGACGGCCCCAGGAACTGGTGATCAAGATTATCTGAGCCATAGGTAGGTGGGTGGGGACTAGGGAAGAGGGCTTAGAGATTGGGGAGTGGGATTCTCAGGTAAGGCACCAAGTTACATCTGATTGGTGGATAACTGAACGGTGCAAATTTCATGAGCTGTGGGAAAGGAGAAGCAGGAAATGGTGCAGGGTCCGAGGTAGGATGTTGAATCCTCACACAGACACAAAAACCTTCCATCCACTGGTTCACTCCCCAATGGCTGCAACAGCCAGGGCTGGGACAGGCTGAAGCCAGAAGCCTCTTCCAGGTCTCCTGCACGTGTGGCAGGGGCCCAAGCTCTGACCCTTGAACCGTCTCCCACTGCTTTTCCAAGCTCAGTATTAAGGAGCAGGATCAAAAGTAGAGCAGCCAGGGCTCAAATTGGAGTCCATATGGGATGTCCACATTGAAGGCAGTGGCTTAACCTGCGCTACCACAAGACCAACCCCATTTGCTAACTTTTTTTTAAAGGCAGAGGAGAGTAGAGTTTGTAGCCAGGATCTTGTCATCAAGAAGGAGGCCCCTTCCTGTGGGAGCAGAACTCCAAGTGTGGTCTATAAACCCAAAAAATCAGCACCAGGAAATAGGACAGCACATCCTCAGGCCCTCCCCCACTCCCAAGACCTCCCCCCATCCTCCCAGTGTGGGGCAGGTACCCTGGCAGCCAGCCCTGAACCCCTCCTGTTTTAACAGGTCCTGGATGATGCTGATGTATGTTTGTAGAGTTGCCACTCGGGGACAGCATGCACTTCTTGTGAAAAGGCCACACCATAAACACCATAAGCTTTGCGTGTCCCATCCAGGAGGCCTGAACCAGTTCCTGGTCTGGTTTTGTTTTTCCAGCCCTTTAAAGACATACACACACCTGTGCACAAAAGTAGATGGCAGACACTGGCCCTGGGCTGCGGAGGGCCAAATTCTGGCTCCAGGGTAATTCATGCAGCTCCCATTCTGGGAAGCTTCCAGACAGTTGCCTGCAGGCAGCAGAGGTTCCCCCGGCAGACACTGAGTGTGCTCTTGAGGAGCCAATGCCAAAACCAGCTCCTGATCCCCCCCACCACTCCCAGGCTTCATTAACTTGGTCTCCTAGGCAACTTGCCATACTCTTTCAGGCAATTTATTCAGGTCACAGTGATGTCCTTGGAACAGAGTCACCAAATCCGACCAGACCAGACACACGTCCTTAGACCCCAGGTAGGCCCTAGCAGGTCAGTGGCTACGCCTGCTGGGCGGTCTGGCGGGCTCTTTGGTCCCAGTGGATTTCCTCTTCGAGGTGTCCAAGTAAAACTTCCCCTTCCCCACCAAGCCACACCAGTCTTTCTTTGGTCCTCACCCTAATGGGTTGAGGAAGGGAGGCAAGCAGGAAATGAGCCCTATTAAAATGTGTGATTAATGCTTACCTACATCCTTTCCACTCACAGTGAGTGGCTTTATCTTTGTTAAACAGAGCTAGGAGACCGGGGAGAAAGACAACCTCCACCTGCGACAGAAACTAGCCCGCCCGGGGAAAAGATTCAGACATGATTTGGAGGCGGCACAAAGTCAGCCTCAACAGACAGGGAACTTTGTGTCCCTTGTGAACACAGTAACCCCTGGGTGCCTGCCAGGGTCAAGGTCAGCAGCATCCCCCCCACCCCCAGTGGTGTTCTGGTCACAGGTGACAGGGAACAGCATGGGGTGAGTGCAAGGGCCCGGGGGTGGGGGAGATACAGACTCCTTCCGCAGCGCTTCTGCATCTGGCCTGGAGTAACGGCATGGGCCAGGGGTCTCTGCTTAGGAGAGAACAAGGAAGAAAGGGCAAAGGAGAAACGAGAGGCGTTCTCTGGGTCCCAAGGGCTGTTCCCCAGGTCCTCAGGCCTTCCCCATGGTTCCCTGAGTGTCTGTTACAGGCACCAGCAGCTTCCCTGAGAGGGCCGCCCCATTGGGCTCCAGGGGGCCAGGGTGAGGCGGAAGCAGGATGGGGGCTTTGGTCCTTTCTTCCCTTGTCATCCCCTAGAGCCAGGTGCCAGCAGGGGTTGTTCTCCTGCGCACCCACCCACCCCACCCCCCCCAGAGTAGAGATGACACAGGTACCCAGTGGCTAAGGCAGAGCTGGTGAATACGGGCTTAGGCTGGTCCTGGCTGGCGTAGGGGCATTTAGAGACCCTTGTTGAAGTAGACATAAGGCACGTGCTGTCCGTGCTTGGCGCGGATGGTGTCTCGGAGCTCTGGCTCCAGATAGGAAGCTGAGAGTTCACTGGGAAGAGATCATGAAGAGGATTACAAACACGCTGTCTGCGACAAGCAGCCAGTTATCCTGGGATCGAGTCCTATCCAGATGCCACCTCCAAGGAGGCCTTCCTGATTTTTACAACCAGGATGATTTCCAGGCCTCCGTCTACCTCCATATGCTACCGCTACTTCTCAGGCCTGACCTCCATCCTCTCTGGCTCACACTGCCATCCTTCCCACCAGATGAGAAGGAGCCAGCAGATGTCTGGCAGACGACCACACAGCTAGCATTGAACTGCAGTACGGAGACAGCAGAGGCTGAACAAGCTGCACCTGACCGCCCCTCTCCATTCCAGGCAAGGAGCCAGGCCTCCTCTCCCTCTCCTTCCCCCATCCCAATGAGGACACACAGGGGAAGAGGTGAAGTTCAAGTTGCCAACCCCCTGGCAAACCTAAGTCAGAATCTATATCAGTTCCCTTATTGGACTTTAGAAACCAGCTACAGCTAGGGAGAGCTGCCCACTAACCCAGCTGGCAGGGACAGGAAGTCTCCTATAGATAGCACAGCTTCTCTCCAAGACAACTCTTGCTCTCCGACTCCCTGCCCCCATGGCTTCCCCTGGCCCATGGAGAGGTTTCTGTTGGTCCCTCCCCAGATGAAGAGGCCCACAGTGTAGGTTGATGGGAACCTGGCCTTGGACAAGCGCCGCCCCGGCTGCACCCTCCCTCTTCTCTCTGGACAAGCAGGCAGGCCGATCCAGCGTTCTATAAAGCAAGGGAGGCATGATGGGCTCGTACCATTCCTGGGGGAAGAGCCCACACGCCACTGGCACCATGAAGATGAGGCTGCAAAGGAAGAGAAACCAAAGTATTCGGGCACATTCCCTCCTGGCCCCTAAGCCCCCGCCCCCAGGCTCCCCAGGGAAGGAGAGCTGCCCATACCCCTGGCCTGCCCTCCCAGCTGGCCCTGTGGTCCTCCTCCTCCAATGCCTCCCCTGTTCCCAGAGTGTCAGGAAACTTCTTGGTAGGGGGACAAAACTGGAACCCCTTCCGTCCTCCCACCCCAGCCCACACCCCATGTCCTGTGTCCCAGCAGATGAAGAAGAGAATCAAGCTGAGGGGCAGAACATGAGCTTCCACAGGTGTGTGGCAAGGCAAGGAGCGACGTGTGCATTCCTAGGCCCAGCTTGGCAGTTGCTGGCCACCCACGCTGCTGGCACACTCCGAGGAGTGGAGCCTGAGCACCTTCTCTGAGCACCCACAAATGGCCAGGGGAGCTTGGAAGTCTGCTTTGCAGACTCAATAGGGCTGGGGTAGAGCTCGACAGTCATTATTTCTAGAAAATTCTCAGGACCGTGGTGAGGCTGCCATGCCTCACAAGATCTGGGACTCAGACAGACCTGCCTTTGTATCCCAGTTCTGCCACCCGCGAGCTGTGTGCAACCTTGTGCAAACAGCCTCTGAGCCAGCCAGGAAAGAACAGCAGTGCCTGCTGGGCAGGGGAACGGCAGGACTCATGGGTAACACCTGGAAGGCAGCGGTCCAGGTAATGACTCAGTCAGCACCAGGCAATCTGCAGAAGCTGGGACGGGTGATGTGAGCCTATCAGAGGCCAGATCTCACCTCCAGCAGCTACCAGCAGCCAGAGCCCCTTGGGCACGTTCTGTTCTTTCTTCACCTAAGCCTGAGTTCCTTCGTTTGTGAAAGGAGATGGAAAGAGTATATATGTGTCTCTAGGGCTGACACTGCTGAGTGAAGTGACAGAGGTGAGCCTTAACTCAAGGCCAGCCCAGGGTCAGCTCTGTGGCCTCCCGAGGTGTGATTAAAGCCAGCACCCGTCCTGTCACTAGGCTGACAGGACGGCCCTTGTGGCTTCTTCCTCCTGCGCAGGGCTGGTGCCTGGTCCCTTCCCTATAACGCTGCTGTAGCTTAGTTGTAAGAGGGGCAGGAGACCACTGGTTCCCCCTGAATGTGTGTACACAGCCTTGCCAGCCTTCCCCAAAGATGATGCAGAGCCCTGTACATGGGCCATGGGAATTCTGAGCTTGGTCACTTCAAAAATGAGTTATGTTGTAAAACTTACTAGAGAGAGTGGGGGGAGAGGAAGAGGGGTGGGGAGAAAGAGATCTGTATCCATTGGTTCGTTCTGCCAATGTCCACAATAGCCTAGGCTGGAAGGCCTAAGCTCAACGGGAGTCTCCCACATGGGTGGCAGGGACCCAATTCCTTGAGCACACAGCACTGCCTCCCAGGGACTGCACCAGCAAGAGGCTGGAGTCAGGGGCTGGAGCAGGGTACAGAGCCCAGTACTCGGATATGGGATGTGAGCATCTTCGCCACGAGGTTAAATGCTCACGCCTAAGCCAGGCCACTCTTAAGAGCCAGGCAAGGGAGCGCACACTCTCCACTGTACAAGAAGACAGATCGTGGGTTCCCAGCCACCACAGACCCCAAGCCATTGCCACCCAGTACTCACAAGCACCCGGCCAGCAGCACCTGCAGCGGGGCATGCAGGACCTTGACTTTCTGTACAGAAACAAGAGAGACACATTCTGGACTTGCCTACCCCTAGGGGAACCCACACCTGCCCACCCCACCACAGAGCAGCAGGACAGAGGAACCCAGGCGGGGGGGATCCCTGGGAGCTGCTTGAAGATCATGAGGCTGGCGGCAGGGCAGGGAGGGTCAGGCGTAGGGGTGGCTGGGGCGGGGGCTCCTGGCAGGGGCACTGCAAGACAGAAAACCCACATACCTTCATGAAATGCAGTTTCTCCAGTCTTTCCATGGCAACTGGCAACAAGACTGGAAGAGAACATAGCCGCCGGGGAAGCCTGGGGGTGCCCCCCAGCCCATCCCCCCTCTCCTGGAGGCGCAACAGGAACTGACACCTCAGGAAGTCCTTGTCACGTGGGACGAGAGTGGGAGAGTGCGGAAGCATGGCCGCCCCCAAGCCCCAGCGCAGTGCGTGTCATGCACCCCTGGAAGCAGTTTCTCCACCCACACCGGGACGGAAGGGCTTCCCATCTTACTCATGCCAGGGGCAGCCATGGCAATCCGGGAAATCACCACCTGGCTGATGCCCACTGCCGCGGCTCTCTGAGGACAGGAGGGAGGGAGTTGTCAGAAACTACTCATCTACTGCGCCCTGGCTGCACTGCAAGGGGGGTCAGTGACAAGGTCAGGGCCAAGTATGAGCCAGCAAAGGCAATGTGAGGGACACTCACAAGACCCTCACCCACCCAGCCAGGTCTACCATGGCTTTAGGGCGAGGTCCTAACAGACCTATTGTAAACAGACAACTATAAGGTAAGATTGAAGGGCAGTCACGGAGGGGACAGAGGGGAGGTGGGTTCTGCCCCTGGGCCTGGGCCTGCTCTGCTCACTCGGAGCGGTCAGGGTCTGAGCCGGAACCCCCTTCTCCTGGGCCAGGGGAAGACGTCCACTCACCCTGGAAAAGCCAAGCTCATTGTGGTTCTTGTCCTTCACAGAGATGCCCTGGATGAGTTCCCTAAACACAGACAGAAGGTACTGGGTGTGGGGAATGTGGTGCCAGAAGCCTGCCAGCCACGTGACTCACAGCAGCCCAAAGCCAGGGCTCCGGAGCACAGGAAGCCGCCGCCTCCCGCAGCCTGGCGCGTTGACCTTCCTTCTGCCCTCCAGTGGCAGCTATCTCAGAAGCGATCTAGGCCAGTGGTGAGAGGGAGCTGGCCCCTGGCCCAGGCTGCCTGGGTACTTCCTGGATGCACACTCATGTGTGTGTGTGTGTGAACCGGAGCACGGCCCTTCCCCCTCCTAGGGCCTCAGTCTCCCTTGCTGCCAAGAGAGGATAATCCCAGTACCCTCTCCCTAGGATCTGGTGAGGATCAGATGCAGTGATGGCTGCAGAACAGCCAGCGGGGCCACGTGACACAACCAGCACTCCACAACAATGGCTCCCCTACTGCTACACACAGGCCAGGTCTCGATGTACTGCACTGAGGCCAGGGTGATGGTGGCTGGGCCACGTTCACCACTGCAGCAGGCAGGGAAAGGAGACAGGATGAAATGTACACCCATCTGGGCTTGGTGGCAGGCTTTCTGGGAGGGCTACTGGGACCCAGTCCATCACAGCCATCCCAAGCAAACGAGGGCATACCGACCCCAGGGTGGTGTTTGCCATGTCCCAGGTGCCGTTCTCAGGCCTTATGGAGGTTGCATGGCTGTAGCTTCCTACCTTCTACACCTTCTCTGATTGGGAAACAAGCACTGGGAGACATGCATTGCTCCTCCACTTTCCTGCTGCAAAGCTTAGCACTAGCTGCCTGCAACCCGCCTGCCCTGGCTCCCTTCAAGGCATCTTGGCTCTGGGCCATCTTCAGCTGCCTGGCTCTGGTCCACTCTCCCCTCTGTAAGCCAGTGGCTCCAGGGCCTAGGACACAGGTGGAATTCACAGTTTGACCCCAATTTCACTGGAAGGGCTACTTGGTCTCCTGGGCTGCCCACTGTTAGGGGAAAGGATACCTAGGACATCACATGCCACCCCCTTCCCATCCAGGGGCAGTGTCTCAGGAGCTCAGCCAGCAGCCTCATTCCCCCAAACCATACCCTTGGCCTTGGTCCCGTGCCCTTTCCCTGCTAGCCTTGTGGCGTGCAGGGGAAAAGGGGGTCTCTGTACTCACTGCTGTCGCATCATGGGGATGTTGACACAGTTGGCAGCTGCCACAGCGGCAAAGGGCACCCAACGGCTCACCAAGGGCGGGGCTCTCTGTGAGGTATGGAGCAAGGATAACAGGAGGGGTTCAAGCTCTCGGGACACTGGAGGGGACTCAGAGACTAGAAACCATGCAAGGAAACAACACCACTGCTCCTGCACCTGGAAATCCAGTCTGCAAGGCCCAAACTTACAAAGGCCTGGGAGGGAAGGACCCAACCCAGGACAGCACCCTGACACCTTCCCCTAGACTCTGCTGCCCCCATGTGGTCACCTGGCGCACAACAGCCCTGGACCCTACCTTGGTCAATGAGTTCATGCCCACTGCAGTGGCCACAGCTGTGGTTGTCGCTGTAAAGTAGGCGAGGGCCATCTGCCTAGCGGAAGAGAGAGGTGCTTAGGAGTGAAGAGCTCTGTTTGCCAAAGTGAGGCCAAGGAAGGAGGCTTCAGGCCTGAAAACCACAGGATCTGCCCCAGCCACTTCTGGGCCCCTCTCCCCTTGACTCACAATGCCTCCACCCCCTTGGCCCTCCCAGACCTTCAACACACCCAGCTCTTCCCTGTTCCAGAGCCTGCACAGTCTGTCACAACTCCCTGCCCGGAGCCCCCTCCCCAGACTCAGTCCTTCTGTCCCTCAGCTGCCTTTCTCCTACTCTCGGTCCTGTCACCTTGTATCTGTCCGCAACAGCAGAGACCCTTGTTCCCACCAGGTCTACTGTACTTGTTTTCTTAAGAGACAATACAAACCCCCTCCAGAACGGGGACCCCGTCAGCACCCAGAGTGCGCCTAGCACCTAACAGGAAGTATTTGTGGAAAGGAGGAATGCACAGGTTCTGAATGGGTCTAGAAGCCACTTGCCAAGTGAGCCTGACAAAACACTCCCAGACCCTCCCAGAAAGGGGTGACTTGGTCCCCTGCCAGCTCTGCAGGGCTGCTCCTAGGAAGCAGGACGATGGACCCCGCCTGGGCCCCCTACCTGAGTGACGTGGGGCACGCGGCGTTCCTGTTGGTGTAGTTGACTAAGGCATTGAAGGACTGGTTCACCCACTGCCAGAAGATCACTGCTGGCATTGTCCTGGCAGGAAGCGAGGCCGGGAGGAAGAGGAGGATGTCGCCTCCTGCCCCTCTGGGATATCCCTCCTCCCATCTATGGCAAAAACCCTGCTGCGCAACAGACCAATTCCCCCCTGGAACCTTCTGGACGGTGTCCCAGCCATTCCAGAGACAGAAGTCTTCATCCGGTCTTCCCTGCTCCCCCAAGCATGACAAAAACCATTCACTGTTTGGACCCCCCAGCAGAACTGGGAGCTCCTGGCTGGGGGAGTCTAGCATGTGCCCCTTCAACACCTGGTCCAAGATGCAGCTTGATAAATGACCCATTGTGTACATGGGTGGGAGGAGGCTGGGCGCAGGGGTGCCACACAGCCAGCTGCTGAGGAAAAGGGCTTTGCTTCTATTTGGATGTTACTGATTAAACTTTTCAATTTGGTTGTGGGAGAAGCATTGTTTGAGGTGACAGACAGCCAATCTGTTGTGCACTATCATGTGAACTTGGACAAGTTTCTCAGCGTTTCACGTATGAAATGGACATGACAGAGGCACATCCGTGTCAGTCGGCTGGGGAGGTGGGGTGGGCGAGAGGTGGCAACACCTGCCAAGAACTGACACCTGACACCTGGTAAGCTCCCTGGCTGCCCCTTCTGCAGCCTGGCTCCCCCGGCCCACCTGTAGAACTGCAGCATGAAGCCGGTGATGATCATGCCGCCAGGCACCTGGAAGGACATCCGCCCGATGACGTTCATCCTCTCCCCGGTGTCAGGGTGGAAGGCAGAGTCGTACAGTTTCTTGGCATACAGCAGCTGCTCCACTTGGGTGCCTGGGGGCGTGGCCCCCATCCTGCCACCCGGGTAGGTAAGTATTCAATTACCACCGCCTAACCCCCGGCCAGCTGCCTCCCGCCCTTCCAGAGATCTCTGCCCATCCCTTCAGCTGCAGTGAGAGCCCCCTCCCTGGAGGATCCCATCGATGCCACCTACCACCGTGCCCCTCCTCTTCCCTGCCCACTCACCTGCTCTTCTCCACCATGACCTTGGCCCAGTCCAGCTCCTGCTCTGGCACAAAGACAGTGCGGGGGTCCGTGATGTTGAAGAAGTGTTTCACCCTTCCTAGGAACGTGCGCTGGTCCCAACGGGGTGTGTCGATATTAAAGCCGGCCATTGTGCTTGCCCTCAAGGCTCTGGATGGAAGGGACAGAGAAAGGGGGAGGCTTCCACTTCTGCACCCCAGCTAAAAGCCTTCTCACCCCCACTGCCATGGGCTGCCTACTTCCCCAGCCAGTGGGCATCTCCTGCCACAGCTAGGAGGAATGCCGCAGGAAATGGGCACCAAACTGAGCAGGGGGTGTCTGGAGTGCCTGCTGTTGACCAGGGCCGTGGGAGAGAGTAGGAGGAGCTTCCCAAGGCTGTCGGAGGGGAGCGCTGAGCCTAAGTGGGTACAAGAGCAACTGTACGTGCTATAGGCCCCTCCCCAGTACCAGGAGACATTGGGAAATACAGCAGGAGGGCAGTGTTGAGGCACAGCACACCAAGCTGCAGCTCGGGACGCTGACATCCCACATTTGAGCACCGGTTCACATCCTGGGCTGCTCCACTTCCGATCCAGTACCTTGCTAATGTGCCTGAGAAAACAGTGGGAGTTGGCCCTGGTGGGCCCCAGCCACCCAGGTGGGAGACCTGGACAGAGATCCTGGTTCCTGACTGCTGTAACCATTTGGGGAGTGAACCAGTAGATGGAGGATCCCTCTCTCCCCCGATCCCTCTTGCTCTACCTTTCAACTGAATAAATACATATTTTTGAAAATGAGTAAGTAAAAATATTCAGAACCCATTCTTTAAAAAAATATTTTTTATTGGAAAGTAATATTTACAGAGAGAAGAGATAGAGAAAGTTCCTCCATCCACTGGTTCACTCCCGAAATGGCTGCCAAAGCCCAGAGCTGAGCTGCTCCAAAGCCAGAAGCCAGGAGCTTCTTCCAGGTCTCCCACACGGGTGCAGGGTCCCAAGGCTTTGGGCCATTCTCCACTGCCTTCCCAGGCCACAAGCAGGGAGCTGGATGGGAAGTGGAGCGGCTGGAATATGAACCAACACCCATATGGGATCCCGGTGCATGCAAAGTAAAAATTTAGCCACTAAAGGCTATTGTGCCGGGACCCACTTTCTTCTTCTTCTTCTTCTTTTTTTAAAGATGTATTTTATTTTTCATTACAAAGTCAGATACACACAGAGAAGGATATACAGAGAGGAAGATCTTCTGTCCAATGATTCACTCCCCAAGTGACCACTACGGCCAGTGCTATGCCAATCTGAAGCCAGGAGCCAGGAACTTCCTCCAGGTCTCCCACGCAGGTGCAGGAACCCAAGACCTTGGGCCGTCCTCAACTGCTTTCTCAGGCCACAAGCAGGGAGCTGGATGGGAAGTGGAGCTGCTCCCATATGGGATCCCGGCACTTACAAGGCGTGGACTTTAGCCGCTAGGCCACAGCGCCGGGCCCCCCACTTTCTTCTTAATCAGGTCTGCCCTCAAAGGATATGAGTTTATCAGAACCTAGGCATTCTGGGCTTGATCAGTCCAGTCCTCCTACCTCACCTACAGGAGCCGAGGGGCGGCAAGAAGCACTCAGGAAACGCCAGGTCCCCAGGACTTCACTACAGGGCCTCAGATGAGGGCCCTCCCAACCTTACCGCCGTATGGGCAGGGGAACCACACCTCCCAGACATCTTTGGAACCCCAAAGATAACAGGAGAGATGAAGGAAAGGATGCTGGAGTAAACACTAGTCTTTGGAACCCACCCATGGCGGCAGCTACAGTAAACGCGGCCTGACTCCTGGCCAGATAAACACCAACATTCACACTGAAGTATGTCAGGCCCAGCTGTCAACAAAACAAAGTACAAAGGATACTAACAGGCAAAAGGCACAGCCTGGAGCGACAGACCAAGCAGTGGGTCCAATTTCAGATGGGATGGGGATGTTGCAACTTGCTGGACATGGGGTTTAAAGTAACTGTGACTGGGCCTGGCACGATAGCCTAGCAGCTAAAGTCCTCACCTTGAACATGCCAGGATCCCATATGGGCGCCGGTTCTAACCCCAAGGCCCCACTTCCCATCCAACTCCCTGCTTGTGGCCTGGGAAAACAATAGAGGATGGCCCAAAGCCTTGGGACCCTGTACCTGCGTGGGAGACCTGGAAGAAACTCCTGGCTCCTGGCTTTGGAGCAGCTCAGCTCTGGGCTTTGGTAGCCACTTCGGGAGTGAACCAGTGGATGGAAGAACTTTCTGATCTTTTCCCTCTGTGACTATTACTTTCCAATAAAAACAAATACATCTTTAAAAAAGGCAGATACACAGAGAGGAGGAGACACAGAGTGAAGAACTGCCGTCCAATGGTTCACTCTCCAAGTGAGCGCAATGGCTGGAGCTGAGCCAATTCGAACAGCCAGGAGATATTCTGGTTCTCCCATGCAGGAGCAGGGTTTCAAGGCTTTGGACCATCCTCAATTGCTTTCCCAGGCCACAAGCAGGATGGGAAGTGGAGCTGCCAGGATTAGAACCAGTGCACATATGGGATCCCGAGCGTGCAAGGCGAGGACTGACCAGTGTACAGACGCGGACTCCCAGGGAGTGAGCGGACTGGCTTACGTGACTGTGGCAGTTGGCAGAGCAGGCCAGACATCAGCAGGGCAGGCAGCCGGGACAGATGATTCTGGGGGCAAGGGGAGCCCCGTGCAGCCAGGTCTGAGCCTCAGACTCTGGGGGTGGGGGTAGGGCAGAGCTGGCCTTCATTTAAAGGGCTTCCACATGATTAAGTCAGGTCACCCAGCATAATCACCCCTTTGATGAACTTAAAGCCAACCACTTAGGGGTCTCATTACATCTGTAAAGGCCTTCGTGGCAGCACCTAGACTTGTGCACGAAGAAGGTACCTGCGTGCTATAGCTGACAGCACCCCAGAGAAGGAATTCCCAGAGTCCTGATTAGCCTACCCATGGGGAACCATTCCAAGCACTGAGAGTAAACCCAGGGAGTCTTGCCTGGGTAACAGGTGCTAAGACTGAGTACAGAAAAACAGGTGGATTTTCCTCTGTTGAGTTCCAAGTACCCTGGGCTTCTCTTCAATGGCACAGGTTGTCTCCTGTCCCAGGTCCTTTCCAAATGCTGTTCCCTGGCCAGGTGCTTTGATGCTTTGCCCTCCCCTTTTCACTAAATAACACCTATTTGTCATTGTTTTTTTTCCCCAGAGCCCAACACTGTGGTATAGCAAGTTAAGCTACCCCATGCAGCACTGGCAGACCATATGGGCGCTGCTTGGAGTCCCCACTGCTCCACTTCCAATCCACCTCCCTGTTAATGTGTCTGGGAGAGCAGTGCAAGATGAGCCAAGTGCCTGGGCCCCTACGCCCTTGCTGGAGGCCCTAATGGTGCCTAACTTGGATTTGACTATTGTGGTCATTTGGGTGGTGAACCAACCTCGGAAGATTTATCCCCTTTTCTCCCCTTCTATTATATCTGTAACCCTGCCCTTCAAATAAGCATATCTTTTTCAAAAAAAAATAAATTTCAGGGCCCAGTGCAGTACCCTAGTAACACGGGTCCTCACCTGGCATGTGCGCCAGGATCCCATATGGGTACTGGTTCTGGTTTCACTGACCCTTCTTCCCATCCAACTCCCTGCTTGTGCCCTGGGAAAGCAGTCGAGGATGGCCCAAGGCCTTGGGTTCCTGCACCCACATGGGAGACCTGGAGGAAATTCCTGGCTTCGGATTGGCCATTGCAGCCACTTGGGGAATGAATCATCAGATGGAAGATCTTCCTCTCTGTCTCTCCTCCTCTCTGTATATCTGACTTTCCAATAAGAATAAATAAATCTTAAAAAAAAAAAAAACTTTCACGGATTCTTCTATAATTTTCTCTATGAGCTTTTTTTTTTTCCCTGCCATTATCATCTTAAGTGTTATCTCAATGCCTAACACAGATTATTCAAGTCTTTGCTAAATAAGTCCCAGTTTCCATCACAGAGATGGTCATTTCTCTCTTTTAAAAGATTTATTTATTTATTTAAAAGGCAAAGTTACACACACACACACACACACACACACACACACACACAGGTCTTCCATCTGATTCACACCCCAATGGCTGCAGCAGGTAAGGCCTGGTCCAGCTGAAGCCAGGAACCAGGAGCTTCCTCCAGGTCTCCCACGTGAGTGCAGTGCTTCAGGCACTTGAGTCATTCTCTGCTGCTTTTCCAGGTACCTTAGCAAGGAGCTACACTGCAAGTGGAGCAGCTGGGACTTGAACCAGTGGCACCCACATGGGACGCTGGCTCTGTGGGAAGTAGCTTGCTAGCCATTCATGTGGGAGAGTAACAGGGAGTTCCTGTCTTCGACCTGCCCCAGATCTGGTTGTGGCAGCCAGTTGGGGAGTGATGTAAGATCTCTTCCCTCCCTTTCTTTCTGTTGCTACATCTTCAAAATACATAAATCTAACAAAGCAAAAACTGTATAATCACTACGATATGAGGCAAGGACTATGCAGTCAGGAGCCAGAACTGGGATTAAAACCCGACAACTCTGACGCAGGACCTGGGCATCTGGAGCATTGGGCTAAACACATGTTCCCACTTTTCAGACACTTGGTTAGGGTGCAAGGAGCTTGACATTGGTACGCTGAGGCCAAGTCACTGAGAGAAGAGGAAACTGCAGAGATGGAGGGGCAGCAAAAGCGCCAGGCGCAGTGCTCTCCGCACCCCTGCCTGGCCCTGAGCTCCCACGGAAGCGCCAACTTCTGCCCAAGTCCAAAGGCAGACAGCGAGCGTCCACTGCCAAAACTCCACTTTCTATCCCCTCCCATTCCACTCAGCCTCCAATAGGCTGATTCAAATCCCAAAGGATAAAAGTTCAAGCAAGAACCGGCTTCCATTCCCAGCCATGTTTGTGGCAGCTGTACCTCTAAGGACACACCATGCTCAGTTTCTCCATGCAAACACAGCAGAAATTTACAAAATCCATCCAACTGTGATTATTCTGCAGAGTAGTGACGAAAAGGCATTCATCAAGAGAAGCTATGGGGTGCTGTCGCAGGGCTTGTTAAACTACCACCTGCACCCGGCGGCGTGGCCTAGCAGCTAAAGTGCTCGCCTTGAATGCGCCGGGATCCCATATGGACACCGGTTCTAATCCCAGCAGCTCCACTTCCCATCCACCTCCCTGCTCGTGGCCTGGGAAAGCAGTTGAGGACGGCCCAAAACCTTGAGACCTTACACCAGTATGGGAGACCTGGAGGAGGTACCTGGCTCCTGGCTTCGGATCAGCATAGTACTGGCCATTGCGCTCACTTGGGGAGTGAATCATTGGACAGAAGATCTTCCTCTTTGTTCCTCCGCCTCTCTATATATCTGACTTTGCAATAAAAAGAAAAAACAATCTGGCATGATGGCTCAATAGCTAAAACCTTACCTTGAATGTGTTCATATCCTGACTGCTACGCTTCCCATCCAGTCCCTGCTTGCGACTTAGGAAAGCAATAGAAGATAGCCCAAAGCCTTGGGACCCTGCACCCACGTAGAGACCTGGAAGAAGCTCAGCTCAGCGCTGGCTATGGTGGCTATTTGGGGAGTGAACCAGTGGATAGAAGATCTTTCTGTCTCTCCTTCTCTCCATAAATTTGATCTGCCTTTCCAATAAAGATAAATAAATTTAAAAACAAACAACAACAACAAAAACACAGACCAAAGGCATAGATCTCAGTTCCAACTGAATTATGAGGAGGAGGAAAAAGAATTCACTTTCCTGGACTCTACACGGAGGTAGGAGTCTGGCTGGCCAGTAAACTACTAAGCCTTGGCTTACACTGCCCTACATTCACATGTGCTGGGGACAGCCTGACCGAGCAAAATGCTGTGCTCTGCTCAACTCCACTCAAAACACACACACACACACCAACTGCCTCCTATCCGCAGCTTGTCATTGCAAAATCCTGACTCTCATACAGGGAGCATTTGCTAAAATGATGCAAGAACCTTTGCTTTCTTTTTTTTTAAAGATTTATTTATTTTTATTGCAAAGTCAGATATATATAGAAAGGAGCAGAAACAGAGAGGAAGATCTTCTGTTCAATGATTTACTCCCCAAGTGACCACATGGCCGAGGCTGTGCTGACCTGAAGCCAGGATCCAGGAACTCTTCTGGGTCTCCCACATGGGTGCAGGGTCCCAAGGCCTTGGGCTGTCCTCAACTACTTTCCCAGGCCACAAGCAGGGAGCTGGATGGGAAGTGGAGTTGCCGGGATCAGAACCATCACCCATATGGGATCCAGGTGTGTTTAAGGTGAGGACTTTAGCTGCTAGGCTACCGTGTCGGACCTACGAACCTTCACTTTCTTTATTGAGGTCAGGATAGAAACGGAGCAGTCCCTATTTTATATAAGCCACCAAGATGAAAAAAAAAAAAAAAAGAGAGAGAGAGAGAGAGAGAGAGCCTCAAGTCTTGGTCTAGAATATTTCACCCAGCTCCAGTGTGTGCCTGTAGCAGTGGTTCCCCACCTCCTTGAGGGCACATGCATGACTTGGCACACCCCCCACCCAACCCCACCCACGTGCAGCCTGTCCTTCCCAGCATGCCAGGCTGTCATCACCGTTTACAGCTGTTGGTGTGAAGTCTGCCTTCCCCAGAAAACTGCCAGATTCAGAAGCATGAGGACTGCGTCTGCAGTGTTTCCTGTGGCAAATCTCACATGCCCTCTACAAATATTTACTGCCTGCAGGAAATGCATTTCAACCTACTCCTGGGTTCTCGGAGCACCCCTCTGAAGTTAAACTGACAACCTGCCTAGGATACACAGTAAGAGCAGGTTCTGTTTTCATGAAGTTGCAAATCACCTTCCCTGCCTGTCCTAAGAACATACGTGGCCTCCGAGTCCTCTTCTGCAGTTACTCTCTTTCTACACAAGACACACCTAGCTTTCCCTAGAAAAGGCCGACAGGCCCTACTGCTGCTGGAATCAGTGGAAATAAAAACAGAGACTGACTATTATCGCCCCTGCAGCTTTGGAGACTGACACCGCTGAGAACAAAAGCCAGCAGCCAAGGTCTTTATAAGAGAGGAATCAAGAAAGGTTCATGCTGGTGGAGTTAGCATGGCAAGCGTGGCGGCACACACATCCCTGAACTAGGGACTTGTGGCAGTCAGTCACCCGCCCTGGACCACTGCCACCACAGCCCAATTGTACGCCCTGGGAAAGGGGGAAAGGAAGAAAGGAATGTAGGGAAGGAGAGGGCGGGCGTGAGAAAACACGAGGGGAAGAAGCCCATTTACAGCTGTCTCTGGCTAACAGTGTGGACGTCCAGGGAGAATAGGCCTTTGGTGTCACCCCCCAAAAGGGGGACCAGGGGCCAAGATGACCCTGTGGGGGGGGGGGGTCCCACGAAGGGAGCAAAAATAAAGCACTGTTGGTATTCACACTGATTCAAGGAGCCTGCGGTTCCGAAGTCAGACAAAAGGCCGCTGAGATGGACATGGATTCCTGTCAGAGTGGGCTAGAACCAGAGGGCCCATGGGAGCAGCAATCAAATGGACAGCCCAGGAGCCCATCTGACACCTGGTTCCCATGACATCACACACCAGACAACTGGGAAAAGAAATCGACCTAGCTTTTCTCCCAAAAGAGCCAGCCACCTAAAGATGGGCAGGTCACTGGGGTGCAGGATCTCAAACACCGCCCATCTGGCACCTCCTAGGTCGAGGTTTTGAATGAAGCATTAGTTTCAAACTCAGAAGCTGGTATGCAAGCAGCAGACGTCTCTTGAAAAGAAGAAGAAGAAGAAAGATTTACCTATTTATTTGAAAGTCAGAGTTACAGAGAGAAAGGGAGAGGTGGAGAGAGGTCTTCCATTCTCTGATTCACTCCACCCAGATGGCTGCAATAGCCGGGGCTGGGCCAGGCCAAAGCGAAGAGCCGGGGCTTCATGTGGATCTCCTACATGGGAAGCAAGGGCTCACTTGGGGCCATCCTCTGATGCTTTTCCTCTCTATTAACAGGGAGCTGGATTGGAAGTAGAACAGCCAGAATTTGAACAAGTGTCCATATGAGATGCTGGCATCATAGGCAGTGGTTATACACCTCACCAAAACACTGGTCCCAGACGTTTTGAAAATATTTTAGGAATGGAATTTAGCACTGGGATCTGGGATGCCCACATTCCATATCAGACCCTGAGTTCAATTGCCCACTTTGCTTCTAACACCCAGCGCCTTATTAATGGGCACCCTGGAAGGCAGCAAGGACGTCTCAGAGACTTGGGTCTGTGTGTGTCCCATGGAGAAGCCATCTTGAACCACGGCTCTAGCTTTATCCTGCCTCAGCCCAGCTGTCATGGACACTTGGAGAGAGAATCAGTAGAAAGAAGACTTCTTTATTCTGCTTCTCTGGCTTTCAGATAAAACACCCCCCCCCAATCACTTGAGTTGAATGTATAAAGACCACACAGGAGGGCCACACAGGAAAAATTTCCTTTGATTCTGATGATCTCAGTTAGGCTGAAAGGCCTGACAATAGAAATAAGGCAAAGTCCAAAGCCCTTCATGGAATTATTGATCACTGACCCCACGGGAAGCGGGGACATTTAATCTAGAGGCCCAGAAGCCAGCTCTAGCTCCTGATGGATTCAGCTTGCTGGGAGTCGGCCCTGCTGGCTCAGGTAAGGGGGGGTTCCTGTCCCCAAAGTAGGAAACGGGCCGAACTCCTAGCTTCTGGCTTCTACTTGGTCCGGGGCCATCCTGGGCATTTAGGGAGTGAACCAACAGTTGGGAGTTCTTTCTCTGTCTCTTAATAAGAAAGAAAGAGAGAGAAAGGAAGGAAAGAAAAGACCCTTAGGAAGATAAGCGCCTCCTTTGTGCCAGGCAACTCTATGTACTCGACACATAATATTCCTAATTCACATAACCTTTACTAGGACCTGCTGAGTGGGCAACAGGCATTGCAGGCACGTGCGCATGCGCGTACACACACACACACACACACACACACACACACACACACACACACACACACAACCAGCACCAGCAAACTTCCAAGAGTTATCATCTGCTTTCAGACTTCATCAGATCTTGCAACGCTCTTGGCTTACATCACACATACAAGCATTTTGTCCCTTCTGTCTGGAAAAGCATTTAAGAGCAGTTGGTAAGCAGTGTAAACCGTGTTTACAAGCCGGCCCAAGTGCTGACTCGGTCTCTAGAACAAGCAGCTCCTAGAATCGCGAGGAGGTAATCAACTCCGAGGTGAAAGCCACTGTTCACTGGGAAAGATGAAACTTTAACGAGGACACTGTCCACGGACGGGCAACGGGTCCACCCATGCCGCACCTTACCGAAAGGGAACCCACCTCTCTCTTCCTTGGATGGAAGTCCAGGCACATTTGGGCCTGCATGAGATTCACAATGCCAAAACACCCTCATCCCTGCTGTCAGCTCGCTGGGGTTCAGGACCAGTCCCGAGGCTGCCCCAGGCCCTCCTCCCGGCCTGACTCGGACACAGCGCTGCGGAGGTGGATGCACAGCACAGAACGCTCGCTGGTCCTCGGCCGCGCTCGTAGGCAATGCGGACCCGGCAGGTGGGGTCTGCGTTAGGGGGCAGCGTTAGGCCACTCCTTGAGCGAACCACGTGGCTTCTGCAGGTAGCAGTCCCGCCCTCGTGGCAGCAAGGACAGAAACCCAGCCCCTGCCCAAGATGTGACGACTGGAGGTAAGACCCGGGGGCAGCCTCCTCTTCAAGACCCCTTACCTGGTCGGAAGAGCGATGCGCTGAGCCAGCTGTCAGCAGGTGTAACCCGCCGCTGGAATCCCGCAGGGATGCTCCGCCTGCCGGGCCCCAGGACCCGCCTCCTCGCCCGCCCACGCCCCTCCTCCCGACCAATCACGCACCAGGAAGCTCCCGCCAGCCACGTGGGCGAGTTTTCGCCATTCCCTGAATCTCCAGCCCCACCCGCAGCCCGCCCGCGCAGGGGCGCGCTTGCGCACTTTGGGGAAAGCGGAGCCGGACCCCGCCCCATACGGCGGCTTTGCTCCTCCGCTGTGCGTGCGAAGGACGTCGGGGGCGGCGCCGCGGCAGTTGCCCCTGGTAACGGGGGAGGCTGCAGGAGGAGGAGGAGGGATTCGGCGGGAGGATGGTGAGTGTGGGACCCGGGCCCCTCTGCACCCGGCCGATCGCCACACACAAGCGCGCACACACACACACACACATACACACACACACATCTCCCCTCAGCTCCCAGGCCCAGGGCGGGGCACTGCGCTGAAAGCCAAGGAGGGGATGGGAAGGCGCTCAGCCTGCAGTGTGGGTTCTGGATTAGCTTTGGGGGACGGCGGGAAGCCCGAAGGTGGGCCCTGAAGGGAGGCCTGGATTGGGGGAGGAAGGCGGGTTTGCGACGGGTCCGAGGCCTGGGGAAGGGGCTGACGGAGTTCGTGGCTGGCCTGGTATGAAGCCCAGCCTCCATCAGCTCCCTGGGGATCGGGTGGAGGGGCGATCGGAGGCGCCGCGCAGAGCCGCCTCCGCACGCACGGTTGGATCTCCCCGGGACTCGGCCTCCTCGCGCTGCAGGACGAGGTCCCGGGTCGCAGCGCGGAGAAGGTGGGCCCCGCGTCAGCAGGGTGCAGTAGGCTGTCGGGTTCCGGGCGGCGGGCGGGTCCCCGGCGGGGCGAGTCCCAGACACAAAGAGGAGCACTTGGAAGGGATGCACCACACATCCCTGGGTGTCTGCGTGGCGGGGCGGGCTTCTGCCATCGCGAGCTATGTATCCACAAGATCCGGTTGTGGATGACGGATGTTTCGTTCAACCCTTACACTATGTGGATGCAGACAGATTAGCTTGCTGGCCGCCAGCATTTCCTTTGAAACCTGTTGCAGGTGGCCAGTCCGAGACCAGAGGTCTTAATCCCCACGTGGGTTCTCCAGACTTTAACCCCTCCACACCAAATGAGGGAAGGAATTTAAAACTGGAGAACGAATGTCAGTGGGGCGAACCTTTCTCAGTCAGACCTAATTAAAACTTTGACCAGTCGTATATTCTGTGTGAGACTGGACCGACCGTTCATTACTTGGAGGGAGTTAGCATGAAACTGAGTGATTTTTTTTGTTGTTGTTTGTTTGTTTAGCTAGTCACAGAAAGAAAAAAAATTTTTGTTAAATCTTTCAGAGCACCGTGCTTGGTTTAACAAGTACTAAGAGCCTGTAGCAAAATTTACAGTTTTCCATCCTGCCCCCTTTTCAAAATGTTGAAACATTACTATGAGTTTAAGGAGAAAAGCCACCTGTTCATATTTTCCTTTGGTCTGATTGCCCAATGGGTAAATTCTGATAGAAAAAAAAATCGATTGGTTTTACATCCTCATATTGTTCCCAATGTAAAATTGTTTGATATGAGGTTGCCAATCACGTTTCATACTTGTTATGTTTGTAGCTTTTTAAACCTCAGGCGAAACAGATTTTTGCAAGTGTGTTTTCTTCTTATTCATCATTGATACATGAGTTGTCCATTTAAAGGCTGTATTTTCTTTCTCACCATGAGTGCAAATATAAATATTTACACAGAAAGTAACAAATGGAAACAAAAAAGACATGCCAAGCCCCAGAGAATGAGAGTTGTTTTTTCAGAGAGACACATGAGAGTTGGCTGACTTTCCCCAGTTTATCAGTGAAGTGGACTGTGTCGTTTCATGACTGTTTTGCTTATAATTATGGCCCACACTACATTATCCACTACTGTTTCCAGGTGCAAGCTGGCACTGTATACAGATTGACAGTGTATACAGTGTTTGTCAACAATCAGAATAGATTTGTGGTCTTTTACTTTTTTCTTAAAATGAACAATAAGAAAGTAGGCCAGATTATTCTGGGTCCTTTATCTGGTTCCCCCAATACGTTTTTTTTTTTTTTCTATTTCTAAAAGAATGAGTTATTCTTAGGATTGGAAGTAGAACACTGAATTTAAACGGTCAGTGGTGTAATTAAGTGTGTCACATCTGGTATCCCAAGTCTCCATGGTTAATTGTGCAATTGAAAAGTGAGGAAAAAAGAGGTTTTAACTTCAGTGATGACTGACATATTATATATATTATATACATATATTAATATATATATTAGTGCAACCACTATTGACTTTTCTGAGCAGTTAGCCGCATTAGCCTGCCTTATGATCCCAAGTTCTTGAACAAGTACTAAGACGACAGTTACCTGAAGTGTGACTTCATTGAGGGGATTGCTCTCCACCCTGATGGAGCTTGTGGTAGTCATCAAGTGAGTTCCACACTGAAAGTTTGTTCCTAGCAGTGTTTATGTGTGCCGGTCCGAAACTGGTCAGTCAAAAGGAGAGAAAAACAATAAAAACCACAACTACTGTTTGGAGTGGCTCCCACGTGCCATGTTTTATATGTGCCACTTCATTTAACCCTGTGGCATTTTTCCTGGGGGGATTACTATCCCTGTTTGCATTCTGTCAGTGGACTAGCACCCTGGGTTCTGTGCACTTCCAGGGGAAGCTGAACACGGGTGTGAAATTCTAACCCCCCTGGTGCTCTTTCTGGGGATTCTGGTGCAGTGGGGTTCCTCCTGCCTGAGGTGCTGCCTGGAAGACCCTGTGTTTATTTAGTAGAGGTGATAAGAAAGGAGACAAAATTTTTTTTCCCCTTTCTGAGCTAGTCATTGGAGAGGGTAGCTCTTTGAAAGTTGGCTTAGTAATTTTGATATTTACATGTTGGCTGCTCTCAGCCACATATATTTTCCAGGATTCATCTTCCTGTTGTCCTCCACTGCTCTACTTTTCTTTGAATGACCTGGTTTGTATTGTCATCTTAGGTCAGTGTGTCATGCCTGTGCTGGTACTTGAGTTTAAGCTGAGTTTGAGGCAGATAAAATGTCTATAGGCCATTTGTTTGTAGCAAAGTGAATATAAATGCCTTGTGGTCCATCAGGGTGCACATAACTTGTAAATACCCATGCTAGTGATGCACGATGTACAATGTGCTGGAATTCCTGTTTGTTTAATGTTGTAGGCATGTGAATCCTACATATTTATCACATCTGTCTTACTTTCTATTATACTTGGGGCTGCTTAGTAGCATGACCTACAATGAATCGATATTTTGGCCAAGTATAAAACTTTGAAAGTTCACATTTATACCACAAAACTCAACCCCATAATAAATGGTAACGTCTAACGGCTGTCTCCCTTCATTTGGCATTTAAATTCAGGCGTCAATGGGATGGAACTGCAGAACACTCACAGGCTGACTCTGCTTACTTGATACCTTTCAGACAGACTCCTGCTATCTATAAATGTCCTCAGGCCTCTTTAGCTCACCTGTAATCCGGTGAGCCCCTGTCCTCCATAGGTGGATTAGTAGCCCGCTACGCTGCAGTTGTATCCCTGGGCCATGCTTGAAATGACACTTAGCATCTCACTCCAAGAAGGTATTAGTGGAACTTTCCGTTTCCCCAGAACTTTACCTAAAGGGAAACATGTGAAGTTACTGTTTCCTAATTAGAAGTGAAATAGTATAGTATTCTGGACCATTGGATTAGTAAAATGTGTCTCTAGTTAGGATAAATGCTTTCTCCTCTGTGCTTTGTTCTCTTCCTTTCATTTAAGAAATTAAAATTGGGGCCCGGCGCAGTGGCCTAATGGCTAAAGTCCTAGCCTTGGATGCGCCAGGATCCCATATGGGCGCTGGTTCTAATCCCGGCAGCTCCACTTCCCATCCAGCTCCCTGCTTGTGGCTTAGGAAAGCAGTCGAGGACAGCCCAAAGTCTTGGGTTCCTGCACCCATGTGGGAGACCTGGAGGAAATTCCTAGATCCTGGCTTTGGACTGGCACAGTTGCGCTCACTTGGGGAGTGAATCATCGGATGGATGATTTTCCTCTCTGTCTCTTCTCCTCTCTGTATATCTAACTTTGCAACAAAAATTAAATAAATCTTTAAAGAAAAAAAAGAAATTAAAAATTCCCCTGAATTATGCAGCTTCAAATACAGTGAGCTATGTCAAAATCTTAGCCTGTGAAAGCAGTTTTCCTTCTTGGTGATTTTTCTTTTAGAAGTAGAGACACATGAGAGGAAACCCAAAGCATCAAGCTTAGAAGCAAATCTCTATCACAATGTCTTCACTAGTGGGTCACGCAGGTGGGGATGTCAGTAGTCAGTGTACTGCTTTGATGCATGCCGGTTGTTTTAGGATTTATTGTAAAGGGGAATGAAACCTTTTCTCTTCACATCCAATCAGGAATTCCTGTATTTTCCTGTTCCTCATTTTATATCATCAGCCCCCTGAGGATCTCAGAATTCGAATTTTAACTATTCTGAAAGATAGTATTATAAATGAGTGATTGCAAAATAACGAAAAGAAACCCAGGAGACTTCTTCCCAAATATAGCTTTACGAAGGAATGGTGTCAAAGTATTTGAGGCCAGATGAGATGAAAAGTAAAACTAAATTTAAAAAAAAAAATCAAGAACCCCCAAAAGCCCTGCCTTCAAAAGCACGCCTGCCTCTTTCGTTTGTTTCAAATCTCTTCAGTCTCCTCCCCTTAAGTCTTTTGGCAAAGAATTTGTCTTTCTGTCTTAGCCTCAACCTTCCATTTTACTGCTGGGAACACGGAAGCCTGGTGGGGTTAATGTGGTCTTTGGCAAGTCAGTACAAATACAGTAGTAGAACTGGTAAACAAAGAGCCTGCTGGGCAGGAAGGAATTCTTAATAATTATGTGTATTTGCATATCATTGTCCCTAGACCTAATTGTTGAGCATTCTTTCATAGAAGTATTGTTTGATCTCAGGGAACAAACTGGTTGGAATCATTGCCTGGCGCAATGTGGATAACAAATACAACCATTTTAAATATTGTAAGACTCAGCTTGAAGGAATTTCTGCTCTGGCTGGGAGATAAGATTATATGCCCTTTAAACTCTGGAATTCTTTGGTGCTTGTTATAGCTGTGCCTCATTAGACTGTCAGCTGCAGGACAGAACAAATAAACGATCACAGAAAAGTTAGCTTTTGTGTTTAACTAAAAAGCAATGTAGGTTATTTTTATCCAGAAAAGTGCAGCAAATAAAAAGAAATAAAAATAATAGATTGCTATTCAAAAATATGCTGGTTAAATGTTCATTTTTTTTTCTTCTTGAGTGATTTTCCAATTCCTCAGTTTCTCTACGGGATCCAATTTTTTATCTGAAAATCATAGATAATTTGTATCATACACCTGGCCTTTCACCTAAGAAAGGTTCTCGAGAAAGAGTATTTTGAATGAAGTCTTAAAACCTGAGCTGAAATAGTGCTAAATAAAGAGCCCAGCTACAATTTTATGATTTTTTTTTTACAACTTTTTTGTGTCTTTTTGTTTAGCTCTTTCAAATTCTGCATTAACTCAGCTGGGTAATTCTATTTAATTTGACAACTATTATCTGGTGTCTAATAAGTGCCTTGCATCGTGGGAGACACAAGCTGTCATCCTTATCCGCAAGAAAATTTCACTCTAGTAAAGAAGAAAAGATTTTTTTTTTAATTCTTTATGGTGAATAGAGGTCCTTAGAAAGACAGATTGAGTAATAATTCTCACAGGAGAATTGGGGTGACTGCTAAGCTGGATTAAGAAGGGGAACAGGAATAAGCCAGTTCAGTGGCTAAGTTTACCACAGCATGTCTGCCAAAGCTTGGGACGAGGAAGCCATTGGATTAAATTGCCATTAGAGTGGAAAATAGTGATAAGCTCTCCATAACTAGAATCTGTCTTTCCTATGTCCAGTAATATCAAAATCAGTGCCCTCAAAGTAATCTCTCTCCTTCGTGGTTGTTTAAGGGCTTACTTTCAATTTTGCGCAAATTGAAAAGCGCGCCGGACCAGGAGGTGAGAATCCTTCTCCTGGGCTTGGATAATGCTGGCAAGACAACTCTTCTGAAGCAGCTTGCATCGGAGGACATCAGCCACATCACTCCTACACAGGTGAGTGCTGCCTGCCTCCAGACGCTGTGGGACACAGAAGAGCGTGACACTCTCAGTGACAAAGTAGGAGGGAAAGCTTTGCCCCACTCCCATGACTGGCTTCTGAGAAAGTACTCTACAGTGTTAAAATGATCAGAGCTCAAAAAGTGTATCAAGAAATTCCATTCATAGGAAGTATTTGGAGTGACCATAGAAATAGAAAGCAAAATGAGGATTCCTTGCACCCCTGGGAGAAGGATGAGAAAACACTTTGCTTAGTAAGTATGGTTTGTTTTTCTTTTAAGATTTATTTATTTGAAAGGCAGAGCAACTGAGGGTAAGGGGAAAGAGAGAGACTTGATGTCCCATCACTGCTTCACTCTCCAGATGGATGCATAAGGCCAAAGCCAAGAAGTAGAAACTGTCCCAGTCCCCTCAGTAGGTGTCAGGGACCCAAATTTTTGGACCGTGTTCCACCACTTTCCCGGGCAATTAGCAGGAAGCTGAATTGGAAGTGGAGCAGCAGAACTCAAACCAACAGTCTGACATGGCATGCCGATATCATAGGTGACAGTTTAGTCCAATGTGAAACACATTTTGTTTATTTTTTCTTTAATGAAAAAGTTCCATGTATGTATTCTATACATACATAAAGGATGCTTCAGAGAGTTTTTGGAAAAATGAAATTTAAAATGATAATTTATGGGGCAGGTGTGTGGCAGAGTGATGAAGATGCTGCTTGGGATGCCTAATTCCCATGTCACAGTACCTGGGTTTGAATCCCCACTCTTATTCCAAACCAGCTTCCTGCTAATGCACAAACTGGGAGACGGCAGGTAGTACTCAACGGCCTGGGACTCCACCACGCACCTGGGAGACCTGGACTGAGTGTAGGCTCCTGGCTTCAGCTTGACCCAGTCCCAGCTGTTGTGGGTATTTGGGGAGTGAATCAGCATATAAATCCTTGCAGGGTTGGTATCTTTTTAATGTACATTTTTCATAATTTTCTGCAGACTCCCTCATATTTATGGATTTCTAAGAGTGTTTTTTGCATTAAACTAAATTTTCCCCTACTTTCATTTTTCACAGTCTTTTTGTTTTGTTTTTTTAAGGATTGATTTTATTGGAAAGTCAGATTTACAGAGAAGAAAGATCTTTCATCTGCTGCTTCACTCCGCAAGTGGCTGCAATGGCCAGAGTTGCACCAATCCAAAGCCAGGAGCCAAGGGCCTCTTCTCTCATACATGGGTGCAGGGTCCCAAGGCTTTGGGACATCCCCTACTGCTTTCCCAGGCCACAAGCAGGAAGCTGGATGGGAAGTGGAGCAGCTGGGGTGTGAAGCGGTACCCATATGGGATCCCAGTGCATGCAAGGCAAGGACTTTAGCCACTAAGCTAAATTAGGCTATGGTGCCAGGCCCTCACACATAAACCAGGATATAGGAGCCAGTGTTGTAGCAAATTGAGTTAAGTTGCTAACTGCCATACCATCATCCCATATGAGTGTGTGCAGTTATGAGCTGCTCCATTTCCAGCCTAGCTCTCTGATAATGGCCTGGGAAAGCAGCAGAAGATGGTCCAAGTGCTTGAGCCCCTGTCATCAAGTTTCCAGATTCCTGGCTTCGGCCTGCTCAGTCCTGAGCTGAGTCATTGCAGTCATTTTGAGAATAAACCAGCAGACCGAAGATCTCTCTCTCTCTCCCTTTTCTCTATAACTCTGCTTTTCAAATGAGTAAATCTTTTTAATAAATCATAAATGAGAGTACATATATATGTGTATCTATGTGGCAGACAGCTCATTTAGATCTAAGTAATTACCTATATTCTTTTTAGAAACAGCTTTATCTTCTTTCATTACTAAATTCATGTTATAGGGCCTGTCTGGTAGCCTAGCAGCTGAAGTCCTCACCTTGAAGGCACTGGGATTCCATATGGGCACTGGTTCTAATCCTGGCAGCCCTGATTCCCATCCAGCTCCCTGCTTGTGGCCTGGGAAAGCAGACAAGGACGGCCCAAAGCTTGGGACCCTGTACCCACGTGGGAGGGCCAGAAGAGGCTCCTGGCTTCAGAGCGGCTCAGCTCTGGTCGTTGCGGCTGCTTGGGGAGTAAACCATCAGACAGACGCTCTTCCTCTATGTCTCTCCTTCTGTATATCTGACTTTCCAATGGAAAAACAAAATCTTTTTAAAAAAGTAATATTGTAAAATATGGAGAGTAGAAAGGAAGAGGCTGAGCAGTACGCTGATAAAAAAGTATTTTCATGTACATCTTTCCAGACTAAATACAAGTCCCTTCCTTTTTTGCAACACAAAACAACTACTGTCTGCCTGCCGTGCAAGCAAAACACAATGGATGAAACGGTGGCCGAGCACTGGAGTTTAGCAAACCTGGAGTTATTTAGCATTTTCAGTCCTGCACCATTGTAAGACCTGGGTGGCAGGCTTGCATGCGGCAGCTAGGTGTACCTCATGGCCTGAGTCGTACCAGTTCTGAGTTCTTTGCAGCCAAGTCATTTCAACTCTTACCGAATGAGCAATTTTACAGCTTCTGAACAAATTTGATGTATAGCCCAAGGAGGAGCAAATTGCAGCCGTCTAGCCTGGAAGGGCTGAAAACACATATTAGTGTGTCAGGATTTCTGCCAGAGAAAGAAGGGGTAGTTTTTTTTTTAGCACTGGCATTGGTCTGCATGTCTCAGGAATGCTAAAATGAAGATTTCCACACAGGAAACATAAAATGATCTGCAAGTTACAAGCCCAAAGTTCTAGTTCTAACCGTCAGGCTTTCTAGATGTGATGGGTGACTGTTGCTATTCAGGGATTTTTAGTTTTTAGTTTGTGTTTTGTTTTGTTTTAAGATTCATTATTTATGGGCCTGGCCCAATGGCTCAGTGGTTAAATTCTTGCCTTGCACACGCCGGGATCCTATATAGGCACTGGCTTCATACCCCAGCTCCTCCATTTTCCATCCAGTTCCCTGCTTATGGCCTGGCAGAGCAGGAGAAGATGGCTCAAAGCCTTGGGACCCTGCATCCACGTGAGAGACCTAGAAGGAGCTCCTGGCCCCTGGCTTCGGATCAGCTCAGCTCTGGACATGGCGGTTACTTAAGGAGTGAACCAGCACATGAAAGATGTTTCTCTCTGTCCCTCCTCTCTGTAAATCTGCCTTTCCAAAAAACATAAGTAAATCTTTTAAAAATTTGTTTATTTATTTAAAAGAGTTAGAGAGAGGGCTCTTCCATCCATTGGTTCATCCCGCTGAGGCCACAACGGCAAGGAGCTTCTTCCAGGTCTCCCACTTTTGAGGAAGGGCCTAAACACTTGGGCCATCTTCTGCTACCTTCCCAGGTCATTGGCAGGGAGTTGGATCAGAAGTAAGGCAGCCAGGATAAGAACCTATGCCCATTTGGGATACTGGCACTTCAGGAATCATTTTTACCCACTACACCACAACACCAGCCCCTATGTTTATTCTTTAAAAAACACACTTTTATGCTTCACTTTGTACTTAAAAAATAGATGTTCATGATAGTAAATTTGGAAAGCATCACTGAATACCATGGAGAGACTCGAAAGCTCAGTGTCAGCCATACCCAGGGCTGCCTTTAGTCATGTGTTCCTTCAGCTTCACTTCCTGTGCATTTAGAGGATGGGAATATTTAATGTTTTTTTAAATGGCTCATGAAAATATTCTGTGTTGTGTCATCCTTTTGCTTGCTTCTTGTGTCATGAACATCTGTTGTATAAGTGTGCTTGTGTCATGTACATCTGATTGGAATAGTTTTATACTAGATTTGTTTGATCTGATAACTCATGAAAATTTTTAAGGTAGTTGATATATATGATCAGTTTTCATGATTTACTCTTATTCCCTGCTTTATACCAAAAAGTATCAGCTGTTACTAGATATGACATTAAGCATAGTTTTAAAAAGTTTTTTTGTCCCACCCCCCAGGGTGAGGTAGGAGTCTGGTGTTGTGGCACAGCAAGTTAAGCTACTTACTGCCTGTGACACCAACACCCCATATGAACACCAGTTCAGGTCCTAGCTACTCCACTTTCAATCCATCTCCCTGCTAATGTGCCTGATAAGGCAGCAGCAGATGGCCAAGTGCATGGACCCCTGCACCCACATGGGCAACCTGCATGGAGCTCTGGACTCCTGCCCCAACCTGGCCTGCCCCTGAACTGTTGTGGCCCTTTGGGGAGTGAATCAGCAGAGAGAAGACTTCTCTCACTCTCTCGAATTCTGCCTTTCAAACCAAATAAGTATATTTTATTTTATTTTTTAGTTGAGAAGCAGAGAGCTCCCATAGCTGCTTTATTCCCCAAAGGTCCACAATGAAGGAGGCTAGACCAGAGCACGGAGCTTGCAGCCAGAAACACTGTGGGCCTGTAGGAACCCGGTCCCTTGCTTCTCAGGGTTGTCATTAACAAACAGCTAAAATCAGGACTCAAACCCAGGCACTACAATGTAGACAAAGACATTTTAATCACTGAATTAAATGTTCCTTCCTAATATACTTTTATAAAAATTTATTTTCATTGGAAAGTCAGATATACAGGGAGGAGGAGGAGACAGAGAGGAAGATCTTCCATCCGATGATTCACTCCCCAAGCAGCTGCAACAGCCAGAGCTGCGCCAATCCGAAGCCAGGAGCCTGGAGCCTCTTCTGAGTCTCACATACGGTACAGGGTCCCAAGGCTTTGGGCTGCCCTCAATTGATTTCCCAGGCCACAAGCAGGGAGCTGGATGGGAAGTGGGGACACTGGGATTAGAACCAGTATCCATATGGGATCCCAGTGTGTGCAAGGCGAGGACTTTAGCCACTAGGCTACCATGCCGAGTCCCCCTCCACACCCTGCCTTTTTAAGAGTTTATTCAATTTTTATTTGAAAGTCAGATTTACAGAGAGAAGGAGAGACAAAGATCCTCCATTTGCTGGTTAACTCTCTAAGCAGCTACAATGGCCAAAGCTGAGCCAATTCGAAGCCAGGAGCCTCTTCCCAGTCTCCCACACAAGCGCAGGGTCCCAAGGCTCTGGGCCATCCCCGACCACCCTCCCAGGCCACAAGCAAGAAGCTCAATGGGAAATGGGGCAGCCAGGATACAAACTGGTGCCCATATGGGATCCCAGCACATGCAAAGCAAGGACTCAAGCCCCAGGCTACTGTGCCAGATCCCTAATATCACTTTTTGAGTGTAGAATTTTAAATTCACATAAGCAATTTTATCAATGAATCCCAGTGAAGCCACCTTTTGTAAGTTCAAGCCATGATATAGAGTTTTTTTCTTTTTTTAAGATTTATTTATTTGAAATGCAGCATGACAGAGAGAACTGACCTTCCATCCATTGGTTGACTTCCCACATGGCTGCTGTGGCTGGAGGCTTGGCCAGCTCGAAATCAGGAACCCCAGGCTCATTCTGGGTTTCCACTGTGGATGGCAGGGGCCCAGCAACTTAGGCCATCTTCCTCGGCTTTACCAGGCACATTTACAGGAAACTGGATCAGACTAGACCCAGCACTGATACAGGATGCCCTGTGTCATGAGGGGCAGCTCTGCCTGCTGTGCCACAGCGCCATTCCCCCCCCAGTGGAGTTCCTGAACTTCTACTATATTCAGTCCCTGGTGTTTCAGCAAAGTGGCAGTGAGCATCATCCCCAGCTATGCCCCAGGTGGTGTGTTCCTGCGTATTGCACTGTGCCTGGTCCTGTGCAGTTGCCCCTTGAGGCAGCAGTGTCTACAGACCTCCCCAGACCCACGTCCCTGCAATTATTCAAGCTAAAATGTCTCTTCTGTGGTAGCCAGTGGTTGACAGGAGTTTTCCATTCCTTGTTTCCCTGTGTTGTTCTTGCAAGACTGTTTTGTTTTGCTTATAATTCTTGCTCATGAAATGCATTCTCTCCCAACCCCCAGTGGCCTTGTTAATTTGTTTCTGTCTCCACACTAACTCCCAGCTGGCAACTCTGCCTGGCTCTCACCTTCCACAAAGTTCCTAGCACTTTGAGCTCATCACAGGTGCAGGTGACCGTCTTGTCACTGAGTTTCCTTCACTGTGTCTGAGGCCCTTGCTTGCCTCTCCAGAGGGCTGGGAACTCAGTGGGGAGCCCAGCCTCCCCCACACTGTCCTCAGCTGGGCTCCCTCTTTCCCTGATGAATCAGATGGAGGTATGTATTTTGAGCTGCCCCTGAAGAATGCAATCGTCCAGGTTCGTGGTTCCTGCCTCTCTAGAAACTTCCCTTTTGTTCTTTTCCATCCATTACATGTGGTGTGCTCGGTTCCACTTCGCTATGGTAGGGACTCCTCAGAAGGTATGGTCTCTGCCAATTAGTTGATGACCAGAACTAATCCCATAATGGGTTGTCCTCAGCGACCAGCGAAGCACTCTCTTTCTTTATGGGAAACGCTGGGTTGCCCCGGCCCTCGGAGCTGGGGGTAAAGCGTGTATGTATGTTTCTTTCTCCCCTGTCACAGTAACCTGTTACCTTTTTTTTTTTTAAGATCTTTTTAAATTGGAAAGTCATATTTACAGAGAGGAGAGACAAAGATCTTTTATCCACTCATTCGCTCCCTGAATGGCTACAACAACTGGAGCCAAGACAATTTGAAGTCAGGAGCCAAGCGTTCCTTCCATCCTCCACTGCTTTCCCAGACCACAAGCAGGGAGCTGGATGGGAAGTGGGGCTGCCAGGACATGAACCGCTGGCACCCATACAGGATCCCAGCACATGCAAGGCAAGGCAAGGATTTAGCCAGTAGGCTACTGTACCTGGCCTGGTAACCCATTTTCAGTATTGACAGTAACCATGTGTGGTATGAAACCTGAGCATTTAAAAAAAAAAAAAAGCTCTGAAATGTAGCATTGTCAGAATTGCCATCTGAAAGCTTACTAAGACTGGATGTTTTTGCCTCCACCTGTTTTAGGGTTTTAACATCAAGAGTGTACAGTCACAAGGTTTTAAACTGAATGTGTGGGACATCGGTGGCCAGAGGAAAATCAGACCATACTGGAGGAATTACTTTGAAAATACAGATATTCTCGTAAGTACTCTGCCCGAGGCACTCATGCACATTGCCCTGTGCCATGTGTCAGTGTGGCCAGTCACGCTGCCCGAGAATGAACGAACAAGGATCCAGCAGGGGTGGGGCGGGGTGGTAGTGCCGCACAGCAGGGATGAGCAGGGGCCTCTGTGACTTGGAGCGGATGCTGTGCTGTCCCCCAGCAGCAGTACTGCACCCCCACTCAAGGTGGAGAGCGAAGGTGTTCATTAATCAGACAGCGATAAACAGCACAGGGGAAGGCAGAAGTGCACTTTGCTGCCTTTGTCACTCTAAGGATGGCAACATAACACGTGTGTCCCCAAGAGGACGACAGAGAAAGTGCCAGGCTGGGAAGACCTGGGTCCGCCTGACAGGGCTCCCCCTGGAAAGAGGGCATGGGGACAGGCACCACGTGCCGTCAGAACTTCAGACCACAAGGTTACCTCACCCTTGAGCCATCGTAAGTACTGAGCCAGGAGGTAGGCACAGAGCAGGAGGGTGGCAGGGAGCGGGGCAGAACCAGAGAGAAGTTGCCCGGCGTTGTAAATGTCCAGAAGCAGAAGCTGGGGCTTGGGGTGCCCCCTGACTCATGCGGCTTCTGGGGTGGAGGCCGGGGTTTTGGCTCACAGCTCCCCATGGCTTTCTCGATCGAGGCCGATAGAAGCTTCTCGGACACTTCAGGGTCCACCCCCGTGTTCCTCCAGCGGCCCGGGCTCTCGGTTCTTTCTCCTCCCATAATCTCACCCTCCAGCCTGCCTGGACCTGTACCCTCACATGAGCATGCCTGGAGATGGGGGAAGGGGGCACTCACAAACACAAATGGGGAAGTAAATTGCATGTTATTCTCACTAAGCTCTAACATGGACTTCGGTTATAGGCATAGGTGGTAAACTGAGGCAGCCTCGGCCCTGGCCACATCAACAATAGGTGTTATCTCTCTGGGTGTCTGTCTTCTGTATCTTTGCTATCGACAGGCGCCCGTCCCGCAGCTTCTCTTGTTCAGGAAGGAAAAGCGAACACAAAGAGCCTCTTCTCTCTGCCACTCAGGCCCTCTCATCTCCTCGCACAGCAGAGCTCCTCCGGAGTGTTACCAGCACCTGTCTTCACGGCCCCTCCTCCTTCGGGCTCAGCAGGCCCACCATGTGGCTGAGCTCGGAGTCTCCTGCTCCCCTTGCTTCACCTATCAGCTTGCTAGTGTAGCTGGCCGTGCCATCCTTGAACCCCTGGAACCCCTCCTCTCAGCTTTCCCGCAGACACAGCCAGCCCCCAGTGGACGCTTCCTCTTCAGGGGCCACTAAACCCCTCAGCATCACCAGCTCCAAACCCTTCACCCACTTCTGCCCAACCTGCTGCTCCCAAGCACCCCAGATACTAGAGTCATCCTTGGCTCCTTTTGCTATCCCTCCCCACATCAGCAAATCCGGCCAGTTCTGCCTTCAGGTACCCTGGATCCTGCCGTTCCTCCCCACCTCCATCGCCTCTCCCATGCCTTCATTACTGCAGCATCCCCTTAACCAGACTGCTTCCCTCTCCTGTCTCCCCGAAGTTTCTTCCTCAACCCTGTCACCATTTTTGTGATCCCTTCCCAAGGTGAGCATTCGGCGCCACAGTGAAGCTACCACTTACAACAGCTGGGTTCGAATCCCAGCTCCACTCTCCATGCCAACTTCCTGCTAATATGCATCTGCGATGCAACAGGTGATGGCTCAAGGACTTGGGTCCCAGCCATTACAAGGGAGACCCAAGGAGAACTCTGAGCTCCTGACATTAGCCTTGCCTGTTGCAGGCATTTGGGAAATGAACCACCTGGTAGAAAACTCAGTTTTTTCTGTTTCTGTCATTTTGCCTTTCAGATAAAGATGAGAAGATATACATAAGCTTCACATGTCAGGATCAGAGCCAAGGTTCCTATGTGGCTCACAGGCCCCCTGCCTTCTCCTCCCCACCCTGACTTTCCCTGTGCCTTGCCTAGCTGGGTTCCAGCCACACCAGCCTCCTTGCTGTTCCTAGCTCAGCTCAGGGCTCTGTTGTTGCCATTTTCTTTAACCACTGTGCTATCGCACCGGGCCCTCGTTGTTGCCGTTTTCTACTGCTGCATTCCCTCCTCCTTGGGTACAGCCTTGTGGCTACTCCCCCGCCCCCTTCAAGTCTTGGCATGCATGTCCCCTTTCCACTGAGACCTCCTCTCATTTATGACATGTATTGTAGATTTACACACACGGTCTCAACCCATCGACACTACAATTTTTCCTTATTCTTTTCTTTTTTTCCTCCATCAAATCTGTCAGTTGCTAGGACCACCAGACTTAATGTTTTTAATTTTTTTTAATTTATATTCATTCATTCTTTTGAAAGAGAGAGAAAGATTTCATCCCCGTCTCTTTCCCCAAAGGCCTGCAACAGCCAGGGCTGGGCCAGGCTGAAGCTAGGAGCCTGGAACTCCAACTGCATCTCCCACGGGGGCGGCAGGACCCAGTCCTTGCATCCCCTGCTGCCTCCCCAGGGGCGCATTCACAGGAAGCTGCATCCAAAGCAGAGGGATCGCTCTCAGTTCCTGCACTCTGATGTCCCAGGCAGTGACCACAACACCTGCTCCACCATATGTATTTTTATTCCTTAGGTATTTTTTAAGATTTATTTTTATTGGAAAGGCAGAAATACAGAGAGAGAGGAGGAGAGACAGAGAGGAAGATCTTCTGTCCGATGATTCACTCCTCAAGTGACCTCAACAGCCAGTGCTGTGCCGATCTGAAGCCAGGAGCCCATTAGATATTTTTATGTCTTCTCCCCACTGGATTGTAAACCATAAAAATAGGAACTTCTGGCCCCAGCGTGGTAGCCTAACAGCGAAAGTCCACACCTTGAATGCACCGGGATCCCATATGGGTGCCAGTTCTAATCCCGGCAGCTCTGCTTCCCATCCAGCTCCCTGCTTGTGGCCTGGGAAAGCAGTGGAGGATGGCCCAAAGCCTTGGGACCCTGCACCCGCATGGGAGACCTGGAAGAGGCTCCTGGCTTCAGAGCGGCTCCACTCCAGCCGTTGCAGCCACTTGGGGAGTGAACCATCAGGCGGAAGATCTTCCTCTCTGTCTCTTCTCCTCTCTATATCTGCCTTTCCAATCAAAATAAATTTAAAAAAAAAAGTGCCACTGAGTAACCAACACATTGGTGACAAAAAGGAAAGACAACTTTAGAAACCCAGAGACAGCAAAAAAAAAAAGAATTGAGAGCCCAAATAAACCCTTATGAATATAGCCCATAGATCTCTGCTGACAAAGGAGTGAGACAATTCAATGAAAGAATCTTTATCAGCAAATGATGCCCGAACAATGGGACACCCACATGCTAAATAAATAAATGTAGTTATATAGTCTCTACCCCTTTCACAAAACTCAGTTAAAAATGTGTCTTAGACATAAACATAAGATACACAACTATACAACTTCTAATGGTAGGCATTTGCCCTGATGGTTAAGATGCCTCTTGGGAAGCCCTTGTCCCACACTGGAATACCTGGATTTGATGCCTGACTCCAGCTCTTTTGGTTGGTTGGATAATATATATATTTGAAAGTCAGAGTTATACAGATTACTCCCCAGATGGCTACCACAGCCAGGGCTGGACCAGGTGGAAGCCGGGAGCCACGAACTTCATCCAGTTTTCCCATGTGAGTGCAGGGGCTCAAACACTTGGACCATCTTCCACTGCTTTTCCTAACTATATTAGCAGGGAGCTGGATCGGAAGTGGAGCAGCTGGACACACATCAGTATGCCCCTGTAGGATGCTGGCATCCTAGGCAGTGGTCTTATCCACTACCTCACAGTGCCAGCCCAGCTCTTGATTTCACCTCCCTCCTTAAGTAAACCCTGGGAGGCAGTTTTGATGGTTAAAATGGAGGGGTCCCTGCTACCCATGTGAGAGACTTGCCTCGAGCTCTCTGAACTGCCACCCCTCAGTTGTCACAGCCATCTGAAGAGATGGACCAGAGGATGTCTCTCAAACTGAAAATATTTGTTTTAAACTGTTTTGAGCATAATATATTAATATTGGCTCACTGACTGTAACAAACATCCCATGCTAAAGTAAAATGTCACTCGGGGATATGGGGTATGGGTGAGGGGTGTTGCTAAGAGTGGGGTGGGTGTACTCAACTATGCTGTGTATACCATTATTCTGTAAATGCAAAACTAAAAGCTCTAGATTCCTTTTTTCAATCAAGAGTGGAGGTGGGGAGGGAGGAGCAATGGGGATGAGAGAAATAACATTTCTACGTGTCCATCTGCTGGGCTGAGGCACCGGGAAGGCCTCCCCGGGAAGCAGTATACAGGGAACGTAAAGGCTGTGAAATACCATAAGGGGGTCTCAGAAACTGCCTGGGCTGTCCGAGCTCCAACACCTTGAGAGCAGACTGGAGGGGGTCGTAGGGGAACCCTTGGCTCCACAGCCCTGTTAGCTGAGAGTGCCCAGGAATCACCAACCAATGCAGCCAGAATTGGCTCTGAGCAGGCCTAGAGAAGCTCTGGCCAGCAACAGCAGACACGAACACGAGATAGTGGCTTGCATCGAGAGTCAGCCTTTCATTATTTTCCAGTGCCATTCAATATCAATCAAGTTTGGGGAAGCAGCTGAGTCCCTGGTATTGGAGTCTGAGGCCTGGTGACAGTTGGCCCTGCCTGCCCGGGGTTGCAGCAGCATGGAGCCCCAGTGGCTGACGGGTTGTATTTGGCTGTTTTTAATAGTCTCCCATTGTTGGTGGGAAAAGACCTATCGAACTAGACTCTGCGCCACCTATGAGAGCGGGGATTCAGAGTTGACAACATGCAGTTGCCCGGTTAACTCTTTTCAATTACAACTAGAGTAGTGCAGTGAATACTGCCTCAGGGGCCAGCCGACATTGATCTTGCTGCCTCGGTTCCCCTTGCAGCCTGAGTGCTAAGAGCGGTTTCTACAATTCTGAATGGCTGAAAATAAGAGCAAGAAAAGACAATTTTGTAACACA